ATCACAGTTACTGTATTCACACCATATGTTTGAAATTAAGTCTATAAGCTCTCAGGTATTTTTGTTATTACTTATTCTCTGCTGTTTCTTCAATGCATCTAGTAAAGTGCCTCGCCCTTAGTAAGCATTCTAAAACTAGACATAAGTTACTTCTAATTCATTTATACAGAAAATGTACATGATGCTTAAGATTCTTTCAACACTGCAGTTGTGTGATTCTGTTAATCTCTGTATGTTATGCATCCAAGTGAATGTTTTTAGGAGTATAGAATGAAAAGGGAGAATAAATTTGAAGAAAATAGATTTGATGTCTAAAGGCTCTCTAGAAAATTCTTCCAAATTGCTTCCTTTTTTAATGAACGTAACTATTCTAGTAATAGTTGCTTCATTAACCTAAACTGAAAAAACAAAACACACTATATACAAATCACAGGCTATCTTTACTGTGTGCCAAACAAAAGGTAAATGCTGTTGGAGAGAAGAAATGATTTTAAGTCTTAGTCACTGCATCTCTAGCAGGGGATGCTGCACTACATTCATACAAATTGGAACAAACTGTGAAATATTTTAAAAATACTCATTTGAGTAATCTCTCTGTGAGGGGTTAGCAATGTAGGACCAATGAATGGGATTTGGCCTGAAAACAATGTAAAACAGCTTTTAGCAAGCCTACTGAGGCAGAAAGAGTATCCGTCAAGGACTGTTGAAAAGATTCTTACATTAAAAAGTGTGTTTATTCATTTGCCAAAAGTCATTAATACCTACTGTGCACCAGAAACTGTCTGCTAATTGTTTTCCCAAATTCAAAGAAAAGTGAGTAAGATCTTAACCTATATGAAAAATCTCTTAAACTAATGGAAAATACAAATGTGTATATTACTCATGCATTATAAAACAAATAATATGAACAGCAAGACAGAATGTTTTTAAAGTGCTCTGAGATATCTGAGAATAGTGACTAATAAATAATTCTGTCCTGAGGGACTAAAGAAAGTTTTGGAGAGCAATTGTCATTTGAATTGAAGCATGCAGTACAGATAAGGTCTTAAATATGAATGAAGAAGTTTATATGTGTGTATGTGAAGGGAGGTGACGATTTCAGGCTGTGAGTAGAGTCTTAGCAAATCACTAATAACTGGTGTGCAGAATTTGCTTCCAGATGTGAACCTGGAAAGGATGAATTGAATCTATAGCAGATTACAAATGGCCATAAGTTTATGAAGACATAGAGTGTATTTCCATATCTGCTGAATTTGAGAAGACTTGCTCTGACTAACAGAAAGCAGAGGAAGTGATGTAAAAGTTCGGAGCCAGGAATCCAAAGGCCTTATAACCTCTGCTCAGACACAATTGGAACACTGTCACCATGTGAATAAATCTGAGCTAGACTACAAGAGGGGATACATAGAGAACTGAGGCACCCTGATTGAAGCTTGTCATGATTCAATACTCTGCTTTGTCTAATCTACTGCTGATTCATTCTAATATAGTCTTCATTTCAGTTATTGTATTCTTCGTTTTGGACTGGTTGTTTCTTTTATGTTTCCTATCTCCATTTTTATGTTTCCTAATTCTGTGAAAGTTCTCACTGAGATCACTGAGCATCCTTATAACCAGTATTTTGAACTCTGTATCTGGTAGAATGTGTGTCTCCATTTTCTTTAGTTTTTTTCCTGGAGCTTTGTTCTGTTCCCTCATTTGGGACATGTTTCTTTGTCTCCCCATTTGGCTGCCTCCCTGTTTTTTTTTGTATTAGGTAGAGCTTCCATGTCTCCCAAAGCAGAGTGGCTTTATATATTAGGTGTCCTGTGGGGCTCAGTGGTGTAGTCTTCTAGGTCACTTGAGCCAGGTGCTGCAGGTGTGTCCCTTGCGTAGGTTGTGTGTGTCCTGCTTCTATAGTTGAGCCTTGGTTGCTGTTTGTACATCAGTAGGAGGGATTGACCCTCAGGCTGATTGATTGTGAGGACTGGCCATGACTAAAATGGAGGAGCTGTTGTGCAGGGGCTGACCCTACAGAGCAGGATTGGCCTTCAAGGGCTCTGATATCTGCCCAGTCTGCCCTTTGGGTGTGTGGTTTATGAACATGGTTGGGTAGTGCTCTGAAGCTGGTCACTGAGTCTGTTGTTTCTGGGGCTTCTTAGGAGGGGTTCTGTTGCAGGCCAAGGTCAGCCACTGCCTGTGCCATGCTCAAGCCACTAGGTATGAGCTGCAATGTGATCTGTAGATGGTTGCCATTTGTGCTGTGCTTGGAGTTGCCTGGGAGTGGCTAAGCTGTGAATTGAAGCCAGATGCAGCTAAGGCCAAGCTTTGGGCTGCTTAGCAAGAAGTATAGGATTCATTGAGGTCTGATGCTGCATGCTTGGGGTTTATGAACCTTTGAGAAATTCTAGGAAAGTCAGCACCATGAGCCAAGACAGGTCATTTGTATGGAAAAGCCACTGGAAGTGGCTTGGGTGGGCCTGCAATTTGGGTGGGGCAGGGTCTCAGGGAATCACCAGGGTGGGTGAAAGATGTTAGCTAGTTTGATGGGAACTCAGTCGTGGTGCCCGCCTGCATGTGCATTATGGGTCGGGGAGGGCTCAACAAAGGAACGATGGATTCTGCCAGCACTTCTCTCTGGGAGAAAGCTGCCCCTCCAGCCTTGTCCTGAAGCCAGCCATCTCAGTTCCTCCCTGTACTTTTTGCATACTTTTTGCGCAGCTGTCCCTGGGCTGGAGCTCAGAGCGAAAGAGTCCATCAGTGAGTAAGTCTGTGCATGAGCCCATTAAGAGGAGTTCCGGGGACTCCAGCCACCTTCCATCTCACTCAGCTACAATCTACACTGGTTTCTCAGCCAGAAGTTGTTGGGATTTCTCTTCCTGGCACTGGAACCCTGGGCTGGGAGACTAGTTGGGGGGCTGGGACTCTTTGTTCCTCTGGGAGGAGGACCTCCGCAGCTGAGACAGCTCTCCCTATTTTAACTGCCACATGCAGGTATGGTACCAAGCCATTCCATATCTCGGACTCTCCTGAATCTTGACATGGTTTCTTCTGTATACCTTAGCTGTACGACTTCTGTTTAAATAGACTTCAGGCAATTCCCGATGATGGTTGTTCTGTAATCTAGTTGTAATTTTGATGTAGTTGTGAGAGGAGGCAAGCACAGTATTTACCTATCCTGCCAACTTGACTGAAAGCTCCTCAGAGCCTCTTAAGTGTCTTTATACACAATGTCTACTGTTTTTAGTTATACTTAGTGGGAGGAATAAGGAAAAGTTTGTCTACTCCATTTTTATAAAAGTGAAAATCTCACAATTTACATTTATTTCCTTTTCTCATCTTAGTTACTATGCAGTATGTTTCCAGTTGCAGTTGAACTAACAACAATAACACATCATGACACAGATTGAGTGTCAACTTCATATCAGACAAAAGGGACCTGTGAGCTTCATAAATACTTAAAAGGTATACTATGTGAGATCCAAAATACATTTTTCTCCATAAATACTCAACTTCAGTGCCTGCTTCCAGGTCTTTAGACTTTTGATGACCCTCTAATTTACTTAGTAAATTAGGTTCTAATTTACTAAGAACTGTAAAGATGAACATTTAATTGGCATCACTTCTGTTATGGTGTAGAGATATGAAGATCTGAAATAGCCATCATTTACCAAATTCTTGCCATTTTTATTCTATTTGAAATTTTGCGTTCTGAAAAAACAGAGCAGGGTGTGAGGTATTTTTCAGATCTATTTACTGCCTTCACTGATGGGCTTTGTATCTCAAGGGCATCATTTATATAGTTTACATTTCCTAGACTCGTTTGCCAAAAAGCTTCCACTGATATTGGAACATTGGGAAACATTGGTGAGAAATTTGAATGTGGGAAGCTATGATAATTTCCACCCTCTCTGTTTGCTTTGGGAGGCATCTTTGGAGGTGACTGTGACACCTGAGTGGCTATAGTTCTTACTAGAGAGCTTATTCCTCTCTATTCCAAATTTCTCATCTGATAGCCCTGCTTCCTGGATTCTGGTAAGGCCACTACCTCCTTTTTTCCCCCTCCGTCTCCAGGAGTGGTGGTGATACTTTACTTCAATTACCTTATTTAAATCTTCTCTATGATATTATTATTATCCCCATATCCCTAAGATCACACAGGTAGTAAGTGGTAGGGGTGGTATTTGAACTATGGCAACTAAACCACCAACCTCTATCCATTTGAGAGTATTGCAGCTATATCAAGCCATGGCAGAACTGTCAACCTTCCCAACGTGAAATGCAGATTTTTGAGAATAGCTCTTTCCCGAAAGCCTGATTGGTAATTCTAGGTAAATCATATATCTTTTTCTTTTTTTTTTAATACCACTGTTGATGGTGTTTTATATACTAGTAGAACAACAAATCTGAACATATCAAAACAATGAATGTAGATTTTTAAATTTTGAATTTCTATTTATCTCCATAAAGTGTCCACAGTGCTACTCAACTTCTATTTTAACTAACCACAGAGCAGATTGAGCTCTCTAATTCTTGAAGATATTATTACCATCTCTCAGCCTGTTCTTTATTAAATTTCATGATAGTAGGCATTTCTTTCTGTAGGGATTGTAAAGCAAAAACTGTGTGGCTTAAGAAAAGAAAGCTTGTTTCCATATATGCAACCAGGAAAAAATCTTGTCACTCAGCCTGACCTTTTAGCTTGCTATTGACATTTTTGTCTCTTAATTTGTAGGAGGTAAATTCCCAATTGTTTTTGGAGAGACTTTCAATCTTGGTGTCAGCTAAAATAAAATTTTAGTGCATTCTCAGATGAGGTCTTCTCTTGTGGGCTATAGGTTTATTAATCAATACCAAGGTTACCTGGATCCTACTCTATCTACATTTTGAATTATATTAAAACTCTAACTTGTGAACATTAAGATGGAACATATCATTCTCCAGCTTGGGATTTTAAAGGAAAATTTAAGACAATGTGAAAATTGAGTAATTTTAAAGAAGAGTCAATAGAAATCAAGGAATTCTAATATACTGTACTTTTTTAATAAATACATAGAGCTCTTTACCATTTCCCTCAATTATTTTGATTAATATGATAATAGGATCTTTCAGAACATTGTCATACCAATTTTCACAGCCTGATGTAAGGACTCATTTCACAGAAATAATAGTGACTAGCATTAATAGATGAATGTCAGTGCCATAACACAACAGTATAAGGCATATTTACACCATCTTAACATACAGAACACCATACACCTACACAAAAAAAATCACATATCCAGAACAAATAAAATTCAATCTCCTAGACAGCTTACATTTACAGGCTTTGCCTGAAACACTTTTTTTTTTTCTGTTTTATTTTTTGTATTTTTTTTTTCTTTCTAAGCGACAAACAGATCTTCCCTATGCCTTGTGGTTTATTTGTAACACTGTGCTCATGCAAAAATAATACTTGTTTTTATTGCATTAACATTTAAACAGTTTTGGATCTGAGTCCCAAAACCATCATCTAACATTTTACTTGATGTTACTTCATCCACATTGTCATTTTAGTTGGAGTGATATGATTTCCTTTTGGTGAGTCACAAAATGACAAACATATCCAGTTGACCACAGTTCAAAAATCAAGATTCTAAGCTTCTTGCTCATGCACGTTTTACTTTCATTCTTGCAAAATAGTTTGAATCAGATACACCATTTTGATTCAACTTTATTGGTTTTCTTTTTTTTCTTTTATATCTCTAAAAACAACAACAACAACAAAAAAGAATGAAAGAAAATACTGTCCCACGTCCACTGTTCACAAAAAAGAAGAGCAGCAAGGATCACACTGACCATTGTTAGGACACAGTCAGGTGGTGACACTGTAGTAAACATTGAATGTCATCAAAGTACTGCAGGAATGTGATAATTACTATAACCCATACTTCTGTAACAGTTCAGATTGCCACTGGCGTTTACGCTCTGGAAAATAATCTGGAATGTGGATTTTTTTAAAATCCTGAATACATTTTTTCATTTCTTCTTCCACACTGAGCTTCTCACAGACTTTCTTTTTGGAAAGATTTGTTTCCCGGGACTTGCTGATGAGTGTCTGAAAGAGTTCACTGTTTCTGCGTTTGTCTGGTGGGGGCATCCATTGCACAGGTGCTTTTTTGGAAGGGCGATCCAATGTTAAGGTGTTAGGTTGATGAGTTGTTGCCTGCTGGGCATTGGGTGGGTTATCCTGGGGAGTGCTCGCCTCTGAGTGGCTGTCACAACTGGAAGTGGAGAGCTCATTGCAGGAAGTCCCACTTTCACTTCCTTTATCTGTGACTTTGTCATGTTTTCTATCTTCATGTTCTTGTTTAGGTGACACCATTTTATGAGGTGGTCCTAAAAAGGAAAAAAAAAAAAAAGTAGAACAATTAAATACAAAGTGGAAAGCTCAAATTAAATAAACTTGACATTTTTTGTTTTAAACCAAGAACATTTATCTCAAGAAAAATGCTGTTTGTTGCACTAGTTTATACTGAAGGATTAAATACAATACCTAGTGCCATTAATGTACATTAAAATATGCAGCATGTTTATTAATTATGTATAACACAAAGTTTGGGAGGTTTGCTTAATTAGCATTTGTGCCATAATAGATCATCAATAACTTTATTCTAAAAAGATTTTTGTGATTTTAGTTACTCATTCCTGAAATCGGAAATAGATACCATATGTAAATATTTTGCTAATATCATAACTGTTTCATTAGACACTTAGTTCATTTCTGTTCTAGTTATTGACATCAGGTGTCCTTTATATATATATTTTGCCATTACAAAAGTAGAAAATACTAGTGCTCTACTTTACGAAGTAGTGGTATTCTCTAGGCCCAGAAGTGAAATAGCATCATTTATGCTTCCAGGTGGGAGGCTGATTTAAATCTTATCCTCAGTCTTTTAATCTTGTTTCCTGTCTATTTCCTTAGAGAGAATTATGGAAGTGCTATAAGATATATATGTGTCTAATGTTATGGTGAAAAAATATAGTTGAAATATAGTGTTCTCTTAAAATACAAGGCTTACCATTTGAGGTAAATTATCTAGGAGAGAAATTTCCAGAAAGTGATAGTTTGCCAAGATAATTATTTCAAATACACAGTTTATTTCTGAGAGAGCATATTTTATTCTCCTCAACTCGGCTCTGGGATTAGGACATCAATTTAACATTTACTGAACACTACCACATGCCCAGAACTATAATAAAACCTATAATAAAACTATAATTAACTGGAGCCCAACCATTGAGAAATATTAAGTTACCCAAATCTCATTTTTTTCTTGTAGTCATCTTTTATGAATAAGTTATATAAATCAGAATGAGGGAAGGCATCAGTTTTTTAAGCAATTGCCCAAGGTATTCTACTGTGCAGACAGAATTGATAAAAATTGGTCAAATTCACAGGGGCTCAAACTTAGCCACATATGAAATTACCTGGAAAGCTTAAGTTATTGATGCCTCATTCTCAACCCCAGATACCCTGCTACCTGGCAATCAAACTATTTAACAGATTGAGGTGATTTCAATGTGCAGCCGAAATTATGAACCTTTCTTCACCCTAATATAGATGAAATGAGTTCATAACTAATATGAGTAGTTTATATTACTCAGAATGGTAGGAAAGCAAACCAACAAAAATATTTTTCATAAAAGGACCTACTATGTGTAACTCACTGTGGGGTGCTAACACCTTGTTTCCTATTTAAAATCAGAATAAACAAAAGTTGATACCAAACATTCAGTTAAGTGAGATTAAAAATTTAAAAAAAATTTAGAACTTTTTGGAATGATGGACATATTCTGTATCTTGACTGTAGTGTTAGCAATAGGGCTGCACACATTTGTGAAAACTGACAGACCTGCATACCTAAAATGGGTGGGTTTTCCTATATGGAAACTATTGCTTGGTTAACCTAACCAAAAACAAACACCGCTTTGCCCCCCAAAAAACAAACAAAAAAACCTTAAGGAACATGTACATATTTGAGGGAACATTTAACTAGTACTTCATACTTTCTTTGTCTGCAATATAGTACACCTAGAACAAATGTGGATACCTATGAATCTTACTAAGAAAGTGCACTAGTACATTTCAGAAGCATTTGCTACCATGGATTAAAGAAAACAAAAGCAAACAGCTGTGTTTTGGTCTCTGTCATTGCCATTTATGGTAAGAAAGAATGGGGGGTGAACCTGAGGGGTGGGGGTGGAGAAGATGTACTTCTAAGGCTCCTGGCTGAACCCTTTCTGAACCCTGTGGTCCTTAGTGGCTGATGGGCACAAACTCTGTCCTTGGGGTCCCTTGCCTTCTGGCTTTCAGGTGGATTCAACCCATGACAAAGGCTGGCTAGGCCATGCCTAACTTCACTCCACCCCAGGATTCCTGTGATCTGGTTGCATCCCTGGACCTAGAGGCACAGCCTTGTACAACAGCTCTCTCTACTTCTGTCTCACTTTTTTATCCTCTCCCCTGCCACTGCCACTGCCACTGCCACCGTTTTCCCCCAGATTCCATTAAATCAAGGCTCACATCTTCAGGCCTACAGGTGTTGACATGTCCACTGTAACTGGCATGAGGGTATTGCTCACACCACTGTAACCTGTCAATACTCAACTTTTTTCAAATGACCCAGCTGAATGTGCTTTCTCTTTCTTCTGGGACCCTGACTGATAGAACCACACTGGTCCCCAACCATCCTCTCCATTGACTACATTACTTGTAGGATCAGTGTTTTAGTGGCAATAATATTGAAAAGAGAATGGGTTTGGAGTCCTGTCCTGGAATCAAATTTTAGCTCCCAGACAAATAGTCTTGTGGCCTTGAGAGACATACTTAGCTCCTCTAAGTTTCTATTTACTTATCTGTAAACTGGGTAGCACTTTCCTTATAGGGTTATTTTGAGATTAAATGAAATACCATACAAAAGGGTCTACAGCAATAATTCTCAGTAATGACAGTATATCATTGTCATGTTTTTAAATGTACAGATGCTCAGGCCCATCTCTAGAGATTTTACGTGTGCTGCAGGGTTTGTTTGTATATGTTTATGTGGAGGTCAGGATGGTGGAGGAGATGCAGCATCTGTTTATCTAATTATCATTATGGCAGAAGGTGATACAAGTAGCATGATGCCACCAGCCTAGTATGACATAGAATATAAATAAACACTTTTTTTACCCTTTCTGTCAACCTTCTGCATTACTTTAACCAGAAATCCCAAAAGAGGAATCTATAATTTTCATTCTCAACGACTAAAATGCAAATACCTAGGAAAACCAATTTATATTTAAGGATAAAAGAGTGAGGAGAAACCATTTTCTGTTAATAGGCATGGGGATAGAGCATTAGATAGAGATACCCAGGCAGAAAAGTAGTAATATCAGAGTGGAAGACAGGCTAGAAGAGGATACAGTTGACCCTTGAACAATGCAAGGGTCGAAAATCCACAGATAACCTTTGGATCCTTCAAAACTTAATTGGTAATAGCCTACTTCTGGTAATTGACCAGAAGTCTTACCAATAATATAGTCAGTTAACACATAGATCTTATATACTGTATTCTTACAACAAAGCTAGAGAAAAGAAAATGTTATTAAGAAAATGATAAGGGGGTTGGCCAAGTGGTGTGTTGGTTAAGAGCTGGCTTGGGACACCAGCTCTGAGCAGCAGGGCCTCAGGTCGGATCCCACATGAGGGCCAGTGATGCTGCCCTCTGCAGCTGAGATGGTGAACAACAGCTCGACCTGGAGCTGGGCTGCCTTGA